CCCCCTTCACTCTCCTCGTGCTTTATAACAAAACGACTATCAGTCGTCATGGTTTCTGCGTCTTCCCTGCAGCTCACGGTTACAATGACTTACTTGAAAGTGCAGTAAACAAGGTTATAACGTCTGAAGGGGTAGTATTACTTCTCCAATTTTGTCTAATTAAACAAAGTATCTGAAATGTCCAATATGGTGCCTAGCAGAAGTTGCTGTAAATGTTAATTTCTACATTTACTCTGATAACCACACAGAGCAGGCTGGACGGGCCCCGTAATCAGATCTGGCAAGCGGACAAACCGAAATGCAGAAAGATCATGTTCCCTCAGCTGTTTGGTGACATAAATGGCAATAAAACCTGAACCTCCTGCCTCTAGAACTTGGCTTGTTTTTATCTGAAAAATAGGATCTACTAATCATCTGGCTGGAAGAATAAAGCCACAGTCGATGAGGAAAAATAAAGGCATCGGAGTGGTATGCTGGGTGGAAGAGAGATGTCATCCAACTTAAGAAATGGCATTTCATGGGCCTGGAGAGAAAAACTGTTGGCAGGGAATAGTGTCCTGTTCGGCCATCCCTAGGGGAGGACCACCGGCAACGAGGGGCGTTCCGCAGGCAGGCCACTGCGCCGGCACAACCTCGTGATTTCTGCTCCCCACTTGCAAGTGTGCGTGGACATCTCTGCAGGAAGAAGCAGGGATGTTTTGCATTTTGCTTTTGCTCTGTGTGATTATATCTGCTATTATATTTAATAGCCCCCAACTACTAACATCTAACCCCTTAGAGTTTACTGATGAAAGCTTTCAACTTGCCTTTGATCTTCCAAATTACATTGTAAGATACTGAAAGACAATGAACCCATTTAAAAAAGGGGATTGAGGTTCAAACAGAGTCAATAATCTGCCTAAGCCCTAATAATTTTGGAGAAATTATATATAAATTAAATATGCACGTATGTATATATATTTATGTTATACAATATGTATACATATCTAATACGTACACATATATTCCAATGTGATATGTACATCTATATATACACACAATATATATATTCAAGTCAGTGAACTGGAAACTCAATAAGGTTTGAAATCAAAGTCTTTTTTAAAGATTGATTGATTTATTTATACAAGCACTGGGTACAGTCAGAAGCGCGGGAGGGTGAGAAAATCCACCAGAGCCAGAGTGGGGAGCAGAGCAGGCAGACTGACGAAGTACACTGCTGAGGAGAGCAGCGGGTGGCAGGAGAGGTCTGCGCGCCATGTGGGACCCTCCTCCGGTGGCCGGGGATTGAACCGGCACTGCAGAGGCTGCGGGCAGCTTTGCAGCCCGGCATTCAACCGCTGCACCACGGGGGAGGCCCCAGGATAAGCATTTCTTAAGATTAGATGACAGAGCTTTTGGAGAGTAAATCTTCACTCGTGTTCTCACTGGAGGATGTAGTGGAAAGGGTAGCTGGGGTCAGGAATTCAGGATTTCATTCAAATCCCCTGCTATGAATTCACTGTGTGACTATGGAAAGTCAAAAGTCTATTTTCCTGTTCCCTGCTGTAAACCGAAGATGAAAGGAGATGTTGCAAAGTCTTTGTCAGCACCTAAATTAGTATTCAAATGTAAATTGTCTTTAATCTAATCTGGGCACTGATTAGATTACAGAGGGGGGACGGACGGGGCTGCTCATTTTTCCCACAGAGAGAAGGAAAAGCTAGGAAATGAACACCTCAGGGCACTTTGCTTCCTGTGAGACATTTATCTCTGAGCACAAGTCCCTTACTGCATGGTCCTCGCTGGAACACAGTACAACTGTGGGAAAGATGGACTTTGTGTTCTGTGACAATTATCTGGGAGAAGTAAGGTGCCCGCGAGGCGACAAGGAAGCAGTAGCTTCAATATTACCTAAGTTACTTGGAAACCCGTGTTTACAATAAAACAACACATGCGAGGGGACAAGGCCTCTGGGCCTTCCACCCCACGTGCAGCTCAGCCATCTCCAAGCACCTCAAGGTGAAACACTCTTCCTCTGAGCATGCTCTGCTATAAAAATGAAAAGCAGACAAAACAAAGTATCGCCAGCCTTCTTCCTACCAGCTTTCAAATTACCCCCAGTTAACCTCCCAGGAACACGGCAAAGAGAAGCATCCTTCAGCTGAAATTTCAGCTTCCACGTCTTGCAGGTTCCCAGCAGAGTTGTCATCCATAAGGCTTTTAAAGATTAATTATTAAAACCGTTTCCATTAGTGCTTTGCTTGGCCTCATGCAAACATTTTTCTTCTGCTGTTTAACAAGTGAAAAACCACCAGCAGCAGCATTAGCTATAAATACATGGCCCAGATCTGGGGAGAAGGCCTGACTCACGCCGCAGGGCCAGGGCTAACTCAGCAGGACTGTGTTCTGGGAAGTGACCTCGGTGGGTCCAGCCCCACTTCAGGCACATTGCACCCGTCAGGATGGTGTGTTTCTTTCTCCGTTCCTTCTGCTCTCCTTGGTTTGACGTATCGGAGCAGTATGTTCATGACGACTCTTGGTGAACACCTTCTGTCCACCCTTTTTCCATCCAGCCATTGATCTATCCAGCCAGTCATCACTGACAACCAGCCATGCGCCTCTCTCTGGACGCACAGTGTCAGCTAAAAAGGCTCTCGGCCCTTAAAACCACCCCGTTCGGTGCGGGAGACTGGGCAGTTAGAGCAGTGACTACTGAATGGTCTGGAAGCCCAGCACAGCAATCAGAGATGTTTAGGCAGAGACCCTCTTGGGAACAATTAAATGCTGGCTAAGTAAGGGGTCAGGAGCTCGGCGAGCTCCCTAAAGAGCCACGAGGGCACAGCAGCCCAAGCGCGAGACCCCTGAGCACTGAGATGCAGAGTTCCCTTAGGCCGGGTCACAGAGGAGTATGAAAAGATGGGGTACTCCAGCACCCCCAAACTACACCCCTCATATGCTCAGGGGTCCAGGAGCTGCTTAGCCCTTGGCTGACACAGGCCTTATGTCCTGGGATTTGGTCAAAGCTTCCTTTTTAAACAATAGTTTCACTATAAAAAGTAATGCGAACCGCTGAGCATTATTAGAATAATTGAGTCTGTCTTCACTGGAGGATGAGCATGACCCCCACCAGTGAGCCACAGGAAGACTGAGAGCCCTGGTCTCCTGGGGAAGCAGGGGAGGTGAGAGTTTAGATCCAGTAAAACCAGAATTCTGATTTAAAAACACAAAGTACAGGAAATGAAATCAGACGAGTCAGGCCGCTGGGATGTGGGTGAAAATGCTGCATAAGCACAGCAGCGGGTCAGCCTGGCGCGGGACCCCAGGGGGTAGGGCCACACACATTTGGTGGGTCTTGTGCCCTCCACTGTGCCCAGTAGCAAATACACAAGGATTGGGGGGGGCAGGGTGGGTTGGGGTGAGGAACCAGCTCTGCCTTTAAAATTCTTGTTATTAAAAACACAGAGACGCCCCTATGTCTGCAGGAGGCTGTTCTTGGCTCTGGTGCCTCTTCTGTTTGGAGATTCTGGCTACAAAGACGTGATTTAGTTCCTTTAGAAATCGTTGCCAACAGAAAATGAGAAATAGATAAGCACGTATCTTACAGGCCTTTTAAAGTGGGGAGAGCCTTTAAAGCCACACTGCAGCGTGCGCTGAGATCAAGCCTCTGATCCTCTCTGCAGTGCGATGGGGTCCGCGCTGCTGGCAAGTAAGATGTGTCATTGACACCGGTCTTTAATGTTTTTCCAAGCATTTTCATATTTATGTGATCATTTTATACCCACAGCCCAAGAGGTAGACAAATGTGATGGAGGCTCAACATTTTCCCACAAACACCTGTGACCAGTGATGGTGCAAAGGGAACAGGCGCAGATGTGGGCCCCTGGATCTCACCCCCATGTTTCCAAACCCTAACTCCACCCAGTCCACCCCCTCAACATCTACTTTAAAAAGGATTTTCACAAAATCAGTTGCTATCCACAAAATATTTAAAAAGTCCTCTGGTGTGGTATGTTGGCAAAAACAGTTTCCGTTATAGGTTTTATGCTGACCTTGGGGCTGGGAGTTGGGTCCGGGACATTAGAATCTTCCAGCATTTCCAGGTTTCTTCTTTTATTCTCCACTCATCTGCTTCCCTTTCTTGCCTTGGAACCAAAGGCAGCGAAGCCTGTGAACATCACCTGCAGTCTGGCCTGGCTGCCGGGACCTGGCAAATGGTACCTAGTGACCATGGTCCATCTCACTCACCTACCGGACGACTTGATGATCTCAGGGGTGCGTAGATTGTGCTGCTCTTAAAATCTCCATGGGGGGAGTGGCTGCTAAACTTGGGATGGCTTCTATGACTGCCACAAAGAGCGGAAATTCCTAATAAGAAATGCAAAGTAGGTCTACCGCCCCACTGTCAACCCCGAATGGATTTAGGGGCTTGTCTCCAGCACTGAGGAAGTAGATCCGTAAGATGACGCTTCAGTATTTGTAAAAGAGCTGGCTGTATGAGTTCCTGGAAAGTAACTTTCCCCTTTTCCTTACTCACCTATCCATTCTCAGCTCCATCGATAAACTGGAGCGCTGAGAGAGGGCTTGCTGCCACCACAATGCGTACATCTTATCTTTATGGCCCAAGAATCAATTTTCAGGTTTCCAGAATTCAAAATGACTAAACTTGCTAACACCAACTCCCTTCCCACAGGATGGCTCTCTCAAATACACAGGATCGGCATGGCCTTGGGCAAGGTGCCCTCCCAGGCTGGTCTCCTAAGACACGCGGAACCGCCTGAAGCAGCCGAGGCCAGGGCACTGCCACCTCATGGTTCTAAGCTAATGGGATAATGAAAAAATGTGAGCAAAATAAAACCACCTTCTCATTTGTCTACAAGTTCTGATTTTCCCCTGAATGGCTCTTCATTTTTTTCCTTAAATTGAGGTCATGCTGGCTTACCTTATTGCTGGCATTCTGGACGTGCAGGGCCCCTCCCATCAGGTACCACCACAGTAGTGCACCCACCATGAAGTCACCCATCACCCACCCCCATGGGCCACTGGACTCCCTTCCTCGTCTTTCCAAGAAAGGAAAAAGCCTGCCATTCCACTTTCCAAAGCACACCGCTACCCTAAGTTCACCCACCGGGTGCCCAAGACCACTCTTGAGTTCACTCGCAGAACTTAGGAAGTAGTTATGCTGAGTTACAATTTATTGCAGCAAGAAGATAATTTAAAATCAGCGAAAGTAAGAGGCACTAGGGAAGCATCCAGAAGACCAGGTGCGCGGTCCCAGCTGTCCTCTCTGAGGAGGTGCATGGACTGCATTTTAATTCTTCCAAAATGTGAGTAAAGCCATGTGTAGATTATCGCCGAGCAGGGAAACTGGCCTGTGATTTCACGTCCAGGGTTTTGATTGGGGGTGTTTCGTGGGTAGGTGTACTACACCCACATGGCCGACCTGGCTGTGTGAGGTGCAAGCCCCGTACCCTAACTGCTGTGTGCACCTGGTGTGGCTCAAGGACCACGTAAAACATGGCTCTCACATGATGCAGGATATCCCAAGAGTTTCAAGGTTACCTTCTAGGAGCTCGTCAGGGCCAGACTTCTTTGGAATGTGCAGAGCTTGAAGGAGCCAGACAGCTGAATTGGTCCTTCATGGCACCCACATTCTGGATGGGAGCTGACTGGACACTCCTGTGCTGGGATCACATGGGTTCTGTTCCCTGTTACTTATTCTCAGCTGTAAGAAACATCCATGTATATGAATTATACACGCACACTCTCCTGTGGGAACACAGGCACCGCATGGTATCATAAATATGTAAAATATGTCTCTTTAAAAGAAAACTCAAACTACAATGTCAATCACTAGAACTTAAAAACTGATTATTGAGATGCAGGACTATGCAATCCCAGGCTTTCTTAACAAGGAAACAATGTACAATCCAGCGAACTAAATATAAAATCTGCCTTAGAGTCTAACAGATTAAAGTAAAGGTCAGTAAATAGTCGAGTAGCAGATATATTTGAAATAAGCAATGAATTGCTGTTTTGTTTTTCTATTACATACAAAGAGAGAGGAACTATTTTGTCAAATTGTTTTATTACACATTTTCTCCCAGTCTGAACTGTAACCTTTGTTTGAATGAATGTCAAGGTTATGAAGTAAGTCTTAGTAAACGATTATGGAAAGTCAAAATCTGTCCAAAATAAGCCAGTGGTAGCTCATAAACTGTATTTATTGCTAATATCCTCAAATGAATTTAAAACAAAATCACAGTGTGATTTTCCAGATTTTAGAAAAAGCAATTCAGTTTTCTATCCCCCTGCTACAAATGTCTATAAAAAATTTCAAGCATTCAACAACTTCTAAACCCAAGTATGACCTTTGTAAAAAGATTGAAATTTTGCCCCACGACTGTGGTCACACACAATGTGTAATTTCAGCTTTAGTGATGAGAAAATCCCAAGTTGTTTACTCAACATCTTTGCCGATTGCTGGGGCTGGGTATAAAATGGTATCAACTGTGCTGACTTGCACTGAACTACTTCGTGGCCTGAAATAGGTTTTTGTGTTAACTGACTCCTTAGTCCTCTTTCATAGGTATTGTCCCCCTTAATTAATCCTTTATGTAATCTGGACACTCCTTGGTCAGTTACTGGTAGACACATTGCATGTCTGTGGCAACCCATCTCATGTCTTTCATCATACAAGTTTTTAAATTTTCTATAGTCAGATGCATCCTTTCCTTTATGGTGCACTTTTTTGGTGTCACATTCAACTTCTTCCTTACACTGTCGTGATACTTTCCTATATGACCTTCTAAAATACTGTAAGTTGGTGTCTTTTATTCACACCTACTCAATACAAAACTTTTTGTATATGGTGAGAAAGGTCTGTAATTTTATTTTTTGCCACAAGGATATGCAATTATCCTAATGTTGCTTGTTGGAAAGTTCTTGTTCCCCCACTTTTTGTCTATCAACTTCTCATGTACCTGTTCCTGGACCTTTACCCTTGACCACAGACCAGGCCACCCCTCCCTGCCCTTCTAGCACTGTTCTATCACTGCAGCTGTGAGCGGGTTCTGCTGGGCGATTCTTTCATACTTTCCATCTCGTTTCTAACTTATTCCTTCTGTAGCTTCAGAAATTGCCTCCAAGTGTGCTTGATATACATGCAAGTCAATATCCTCCTGCAATGAGGAGGAGGCCTCCCCTCATTAGGAGAGGCCTTGAGGGTGCAGAAGCTTCTGTCTCATGCACACCTTTGCTACCAGCACCTGACATGCCTGGCCCATGAAGGTGGTCACAGTGAAGGTTAAGCTGAGAGTGAGGCTGTGCTGCAGCTTTTAACATGTTCTCATGGAATCCTTCCCTCCCCCAGTCGGGTCTGAGCCCCATGGCAGCTGTCACTCCTCTGGGCTGTGGCACAGTGCTCTGCTCTCCCCTTCCTGAGACTGCAGTACCCACCAAGGTCCCGGATTCTCACCCATGTAGTTTCAGGCCATTGGTTTTGCTGTTAAAGTTCCAAGCCCACTGGGAAGGCTCAGAGCCAAGATCATCACCCCACATCCCAGGAGCTTCCAGCTCCTGAGTTTACTGCTTTGGCTGTCTTCTCTTCACTCCTGGCAATTGGGACCCTTTCCTTTGCAACTGCAGCCGGTTAGTTGTGTGCACAACGTTTTATCTGGCATCTCCCTGAGTTTAGCGCTTTGGGATGGTGGTGGTGATAAGATTTGTTGGTCCAGTCGGCCGTGCCATCAGGCCCCTGGAAAACAATGCTACAGTGAGGGAAAAAAAGTGAACCACCATCTTGTTTAAGCTACTGTTTTGGAGTTTTGTTATGTGTAGTCGAATTCAATCACCAATAAATGGTGGCAAACAGATCAAGTGAATAAAATGCATAACTGTGAGCTGGGAGAATCTATCTAGTAAAAAGGCCACTAAGAAAATCAGTATTAACAGGGAGATGAGAAACCACAAGTGGGGGCTTCTGAAGGGCTGCTCGCAGACAGGTAACCAGGAGGAGGGGACCCTATTTAAAAATTAGATACTCTCTCAATAAAAATTTATCATTCCAGATACCAACCTTACGAAGATGAATAGCCTGCCTCTGTCCTCAAGGGGCTCATAATCTATGGGGAAAATTAGACACAGAGATCAATCAGTGATAAATTTAGCACTAGGGACAGAGCTAAATTAGAAGTGAGTACAGGACACATTTATGGCACAAAGAGAAGAATTATTTCACCAAGGAGGTCAAGATCCAAATACTCTCAAGACTTGACATCGGAACTTGGCCTTGGAGAAGGGGGCGCTTCCTGAGTCCTCAGCACGTGCTGCATGCGCTGCGTGAGTGATCTACCTAATTAGATCTGCAGGGCAACGTGGGGGCTGAGAAACCCCACTTTACAGATGAGGGAGTCCTAGTGGCTTCACCAAGAACTTGCTCTGCTAATACTGTGCTCCACTGACATCTCCCCAACTCCAGCGCAATAGAACAGATCACTAGAAGAAGCGGAGGGGCAGAGGGGCTTGGAAAGACTACGAAGTTCTTGTCTACATGCAAAGAACACGAGGTCAGAAGGCTGCAGAACTGGACAAAGCTCGTCTCACATGGCGATACCTTCCCTATCAAGGGACTGTTGCACACTTTTCCCTGAAAATGTTTCTCCCTGCTGTTCCCTTTCACTCCTTTAAAAGCTCTCAAATCCCAGGTCCACGTCCACGTCCCAGAGGGTGAAATGACTCCGGAACACAAGGACACAGGGGTGAATATGGCCAACCTCTATTTAAAATCTGAGGTTTACTATAAATATCGGTGTTTTATAAACATAGTTCTGAAGAGTGAAAATCAAGTAACACAGGTTTGCCACCTTTCATCAATACTGCTTTCTCAGCTACTCAATCTAGTGAATATATTACAGAAATAAACCCAAGCCAGGAATTCCAATCCCAGGGCAATCACGGCAACTTTAAAGACAATGCGCGCCCTGGCCCAGCCAGCACCATCTCCAGTCCTGCGCTGAGGCCCTTCTCTCCCGGAGCCACGGCACTGGGGCGAGGCCTGGCCACACTTAAGTTTTCCAAGTGCTCTGACTCGTTTTTCTAACGTCAGTCCTTAGGAATCTTCTACCTGCCTTGTCTGAGCTGCAGTTAAATTTTAATACATAACCAAACAGGATAAACAATTTTTTTTTAAAGATTTATTTATTTATAAATACAAGCACTGGGTACAGTCAGAAGCGCAGGAGGGTGAGAGAATTCACCAGAGCCAGAGCGGGGAGCAGAGCAGGCAGAAGGACCGAAGGACACTGCTGAGGGGAGCAGCGGGCGGCAGGAGAGGTCTGCGCGCCATGTGGGACCCTCTTCCGGTGGCCGGGGAGCAGCCGGGGATCGAACCGGCGCTGCAGAGGCCGCGGGCAGCTTCGCAACCCGGCGCTCAACCGCTGCGCCACCGGGGAGGCCCAGGATAAACAATTTATCCTTTGTTCAGCTTGAAGCTGTAAGTTTGAGTGCTTATATGGAAATTAAAACATCTGAATGTTTTAATTAAACATTAAATAATAAAATTAAAACATCCTTCAGGTCAGAATAAAAACACTATTGCATATGCCTTTAAAAAATTTGAACTAACGGTTTACAGCACTATATGATTTAGAGGGGTAGGATCACACCCTTTAGGGTGCCATCACCATGCACACCTACCACCAAGGCACCCAGAGTTCTGCACCACAGCCCACTGTACCCCCTTCCCACTTTGCTCTTCCCTTCCCCTCCCCCTCTAGTAGTCTCAATTGTACAATTTTGGAGGTTTATTATTGAGTTTTATCTGACCCTTTGTTTTGCTCCATCACACAGGTGACACCATCTGGCATTTGTCTTTCTCCTCTGACTCATCTCCAGTTCCATCCACGTTGTCGTAAACTGCAAGCGTTGCTCTCCTCAGAGCCGAGCTGTCCTCCCTCGCATATACAGACCACATCTTCCCGGTCTGCTCATCTTTGGCCACTTGGGTCGTTTCCATGGCTTTCCTACTGTCATGTCCACGTCCTTTTAAAAACATACACTGAAGGCTCAAGGCGGACAATCTGGGACACTCATGTAGGCAACTTTACTCACGGCAAGTGCGCAACTACAATCTCTACTTCTGGTTTACGTTTAACATACAAGTACAGAGAATGGTGATGCAATTTGGGGGGGACTACTGCATTTATTTCCCACCCAGTAGTGAAATCCCAATTAGAACTCCTACTGACTCTAGAACTGTAACAACAGAAACATTTACAGGAGTCAAAAAGAATCAGCAAACTGATGAGGACAAAGCAAACTTCTGTTAGCGCAGTGAACTTTTCACAGTAGACAGAACAGACAAATCAGAATCACCCAGCAGAGGTCTAAGAAAGCCCAGATGGACTGAGTGGAGGGCAGACCTCTTCCATGTATGTGTCCATACAATCTCCACAAATGACTGGATCTACTGCCTGAAGATGAACTTCTGAAGGTGTCGGGGCACCCCTGAAGGTGACCCTCCGAAGTCAGTGTCCTCCACCACTTTAAAAGCGCTGATTACAAGCAACTTTACTCTTATGAGTTCCTGCTTCCTCACCTGTAGAGCACACTCACAGCAGTAACTCTCAAGGGCCAGCAAGGGCCAGATGAGAACGCAGGTCAGAGTAGCTAGATATTTCTAGACCATGACGGGCACTCCACGCGCACTGTGGCAAGTATGATCACTCAGGGGCATGACAATGAAAGACGGACTTAAACAAGTGACAAATCAGGGCAAGGGGTTAAGATGCAACCTATGAAGCTATCCGCAGCCATTGCAGTGCGAGTTCGATTCCCAGCCAGGAAGCTACCCACGACACAGCAGACCTCTAGTGACTTGCCTGCTGCTCCCCTCAGCAGTGTATTTCAGTAGATCTGCCTGTTCTCCCCACTCTGTCCCTGGTGAATCCTCTCACCCCCCGACACCTCTGGCCTACACCCGTTCTTGTATGCATAAATAAATCTTTAAAAAAATAAAAATAAGTGACAGATCAGAGGCACACCTGAGGGCTAAGGATCACTGTTGCAAAGATGAAGAACTACTCCTAACAGAATAGTTTCCTTTAAATGTAAGTTTCAGAATTTTAAAAGTTGTTCTGAAAAAAATGTCTGCAAGAGTTTAAATAGAAAAGAAAATTCGAGGGCCTCCCCGGTGGCGCAGCGGGTTGAGTGCCGCGCTTCGAAGCTGTCTACAGCCTCTTCAGTACTGGTTCAATTCCGGGCCAGCCAGGGAGATTCCCACATGGCGCAGCAGACCTCTCCTGTCTCACCCGCTGCTCCCCTCAGCAGTATCTTTGGTCCGTCTGCATGTTCTGCTCCCTGCTCTGTCTCTGGTGAATTCTCTCACCCTCCCACGCCTCTGACCTGTACCCCAGTTCTTCTATAAACAAACAAAAAAAAAAATTGAAAAGAAAAAAAATTGAAAAAAAAAATTCAAAATGACAAGAAAGCACTCTTTCGCAAAGTTTCAAGTTTAAAGATTTTTTTGTCTTTAATAAATATCGGCGTCTTTTAATCAGTGACAGTTTTTGGACACTGTGATGGAACACAGATTTAAGAGATTAAAAGAATGTATTTAGGATAATGTATTCACAATACCAAAGGTGGGAAGGGCTTTTCTAAGATGACAAACCCAGCAGCCACAAAAGGTTATGTAAGTTTCTAGTTAAAAAACATGTGACTGATTAGAAGCACATGCAACATATAATACAGAACTAAACACCCCAAATCTAGAAAGTCCCCATGAAGCTGTTAAGAATGAACAGACCCAAAGAAATATGGGCTAAAAATATGAACACAAATCAAAAAAATGGTCAATAAAGATAGGAAACGATGTTAAGCTCATGTGATCATGTGCAGAGAATAACGGCGCCCATACACTTCACCCTTTGCTGCCAGAAAGCTGTCTTGAGAGCATCTATCAGGCTTCAGTAACTATGCTCCGTGCTTATCCACTTGTTTGGACCCTATGTCCTGTAGTTGGTCCCATGGAACCGTGTGACGCGAGGTCAGGGTGCAAGCAGTGTTTCGGGCAGTGTCTTGCAGGCCCAGGCTGTCAGGGCCCGCAGCCAAGTGCTGCTCTCTCAATTCCCCTCATTCACACATTCTGCCCTCCACTCCCACAGCTGCCCTTTGCCTGCTTCCATAGAAAGCAACAGGGAAGGCTCTGAAGCTTTCCCATTGAGCATCACTCACAGCAGGCGGTTACTGGGTGGGGAGGCCTGGGTCCTGAAGACACCACACCTGAGGCCTCCCCCACTGGCTGCCTCAGTGCCAAAGGCTGAACACACGGTGCGGGACAGGTATGTGGCACCTGCCTCCTGCAGGCCAGCTATCAATTTAGGGCCCCAAATTATGTTCGGAGATGCAGGTTGTATTTTTCCTTAATTATGGACGGCAGCAGACAGTGCATCACACTGCAAGGACCCACCACATGATTTGGGTTTGACGTGAGGGTGCTTGCAGGAGCTCGGGAGCCAAAGAAAGCCAAGCAGCCCCCCACAGAATGCATCTATACTGCAGCGCTGCGCGGGAGCTTCCACAGTTCTCCCATCACTGCAAAGGGATGTGGCTGTTATTTTTCCTTTTTTTTTTTTTTTTTTTTAACAGAGAATGTTCAGAGAAGATGAGCAACTTGTTCAGACACAAAGTGAGTGAGCGCAAGCCCAGGGATAGCTGACGCTTAATGCCTCCCACTGCTGGAAGGGCCTACTCAGGAGGCCTGGGGAGGGAGATAGGACTGCTCTAATATGAGCTGCTTGTGACCACTATAAAAAAAACATTTGAAATTTAGTTGGGACATTTAGATGAACAGTAGCTAATCATTCTTGATAGCTGCTTCTACATTTCGTTTAATTACGATGACGCACAGGTTCCAAATATATCACTAACACACATCTCTGTGAGAACACGTATCAGCTTTAACGTCTCACCTTACGTGGACAGCACTCCATGCCTGAGTGTTGTTCACTTATTATCCGTGTAACATGTTCCTCTGGGCATCTACTCACAAATTATTATTGGGTTTGCAGATAGTTTGATCACTGTATTTAAACAAAAGATGTTGACTTGGAGATTTTGCAAGTGGGAAAATTTAATATTTCAGAATAAACAATCAAAACATTTAGACAGTTAGCTGAAATTTTTTACCAGTGTCTGGTTCACAACCTCTGTCTCTCACTCATTAATACCTTTACTTGGAAGTAACTCAATACTCTGGTTAATACAGAACCTTCGTGCTACTGGCTACACCCACGAGATAACTTAAGCAAGTCACTGTTAAATATAAACAGGATACCCCAACAGACATTTTCACAGAAAACCTATAAAATAAGGGCAAGTTATAATGTCAAAATGGTTGGGTTGTTTAAAGACAACTGGATACCTATTAGGGTTCTTTTATACCCTTTTAAGCAGAGACTCCTTACAAATATCCTATCCCCCCACCCCCTGGAGAATTTAAGCTCTTGTAAAATTTACATGGAGACTAAGTAACAAAGAAACTTTCTCAAATTACTTTAAAAAATAGCCTATACCCTGTTTTTAAATATTTCTAGGCAGTAGGACAAATACCAAACATAGCTTAATAGTCTTTAAAGAATCACCTTGAAATAAGCAAGGAAAAGGTCACAACTTTTAAACCAGTTATAATTGCATCTGGTTAGTCCCCAGACAGACAGTTAAGTAGCTGAACAGGTTCCATTGCAAAGATTTTGATTCATGGAACAGTTTTACTTAGCCTCTCAGGAATAAGGTATATTAAATTATAAAAATACTCTCAGGACAAGTTCTTTCCATAAAATTAAAGGTAGGTTTAGGCTAATATAAAAAAGGAATCCATTACACACACACATGAGTATACACACACACACACACACACACACACGTAATTCAATCCTACATGTGAAACTGCTGTTGGGTCTCATAATGCACTTGGAGCTTTGTGAAGAATTAAAAGTTAAAAAGAAACACCTTTCATTTTGAAGGTGTTTTTGAGGCTAGTATATTTCTAATTACAAAAAATAAACTCAAGATGACACCACTTACAATGAAAGAGGTTACAGAGTTGCCTATTTTAATTTGGCATATTTTGCACTGAATAACATTATAACCTTTATCAAAAAGCAGACTCACTTTAAAAAAAAACTAAATATAACTAAAAGGTAAACTCTCACCTATCACAGAATCCCTGTTTTACATGACATTTTTAGATTACTTAAGTTGATAGCAGATAAATATCTGGAAACAGAATTCTATTGGGAACTAATGAGATGAAAAAGATAAGGGAACTGAGAGAAGTTAAATAATTTACACAAAATGGAATAAATCATGAAAAATCAAGTCTTCAAACTTGAAAGAAAATAATGAATTTAATTTCAGAACATATTTCTAAGTACACAGTTTTTGAAGAAATCGAAGCACGTATTTTCCTTTCAGGGTGGGGACAACAAGAATGTTTCACAGTATTAATTTAAGCAGCATATTCAAATGTTCACTTAACTATAACTCAACTTTCATGTAGAGCTTTTTTTCTAAGTGACAAATGAGGCAAAGCTGGCAGCCCACATGAGCACGGTTTCTTACATAATCAGCAGAGCAAAGAAGATAGACATAAACAAAGACCATTAAACCAAAGAAAAACGAACAATGAATTAAAAACACTAGAATTAGGACTTAATCTATAGGTTATTTGATAGCCTATTCCATAGGATATCCTAAATTTTTCATATCTGAGCATATGAAAAAAATTCTTTTATTCCTTGAGGTTCAAAAGTGAGTTGATGGGAAGCTCCCAAATATGCTTAATTTGAAAGATGCACTTCATATTAAAACTATGTTTAAAGTATATGATGCCTCCATAAAACACTGCAATATTTATCTTGAAGTCCTATAACTTATAAAGTAATTTACGCATTTGACAAGTTTCCAATGAACACAGGCAACTCACAGAGAAGCATTCTGCATCCAAGTACATAATAGCTCCTCTTAATATCAAAGAATAAAAAAAGTTTATTGAACAAAATACAATTAGATAAACAGCACTCACCTTTTCCAGAACAAGTCTCCACTATGCCTTTATTTCACATTTTTATTTTACTGCGAATTTTTTTAAAATTATCTTCCAGAGAAGCACAAATGTGAATTCTAATTGATTGTAGGGATAGAAAAGTTTATAGACACTTGCCAATCTGCTAGAGTAATGTGTATTCTTAAGTGAGTTTGGCTTTACGGGTTGTTTGGTTACAAAATAAGGTGGATGTGTTACCCAAAAATGAGAAGTAAAGCTCATTTCATGGAACTGGAAAGCTGAACTACAGGAAGTCTTAAATATTTTTTCTTAAACTAACTTTGAAATACTGACGTACCATGTGAACCAAACGATATATCTGAAACTATCAGGTGTTAGCTTACCTTTATTTAGAAATGTATGGTACAACTAAACCCTAGGAAAACGTAACAGATGGTAAACATGTTTGAAAAATATTAAGAGCTACCATTGATCAAGAGCTTAGTATATACCAAGAATTATTCTAATATTTATTGGCATTAAATCATAATATATCTAGTCTCATAATATTGCCTTATTACCCCAATTTAGCTTATCAAAGAAACTGAAGCACAGGGAGAATCATAATTTCCCCAAAGTAACAGCTACTGGCTGGCAGAAGCAGGACAGGGGCTTAAGAACATGGGCTTCAAAACTCTTTACTACTGAATTACAGTAATAGCAAAAATTGAAATTATTTCCATTAAACCAGAAAGTTGGCATCTTTATTGCTAAAGTAAAAATCACCCCAAAAGTTTACAGCATTAAAAAAAACCTTTCATGTTCCTAAGCTCCCCGTTTACACATGCATTAACGTAGTAAACGTCCACGGTGCAGGCCTGCAATGCTGCCTCGGGCGCGCAGCACTGGGGCTCTGCAGCCCCACCCACGCTGTGGCGGAGCAGGATCTGTGCTCACAGCAGGCCAAGCCCCAGCACCAGCGCTGTCCTAATGGTCTCCCGGCAAGCACTGCCTAGGCCGATCCTGACAATCCGCTGCAAAGTAGGTTCCACACCTATTTCAGTTCCACAACTGAAAAGATGGGCTAGTAATCTGGACTCACAGTAATGACCTTAGAGAGGCCGGCTCCTGGGTGTTATTCTCGCCGACTTCGCCATCAGTATTAAAGGCTGCTCTTCCAAGTCAGCTGAAGCAAACACCCACCTCCCAGCCATGCAGGTATTACAGCTGAGTGTAGGATGTTTACATGAACTGAAGCTTGGTTCGAAGTAGGATGTGCAAAACCATCAAATGTACATTAAGGTACAAGAGATGAATTACTATTTTTAAGCAAGGCAGAATCTGCTGAGGGAAGAACAGGTACAGTGACGTACACCAATGAGGCGAGGGTCAGCCTGAAAGGCGCGGTGACACAGCTTAGAATCTAAGGAAAAAGGCAGAAGTGACCTCCTTTTTTACTGAAATAACTGGTGGCAATTTATGCAGAAATCCTGTACCTAAAACTCCAAGCTGACTTATCCATATGGGGCTGGTTTTACAGCCTCTCACTGCCCCATGTCCTTCTCTTCAGAACAACTGAAATTCCACCAAGCCGCTCCATGGCCAGTGCGCCGCCTCATCACCCACTCAGGAAGATGCTGGCATGGGCAGTCACTAGGACACCTCTGAGGCGCTCAGGGCCTAGCCCAGACTTTTCTTTCCCTGGCTTCTCACCCCTCACCCCCAAAATTCATAATTCAAATAACTTCACCTCAGGAACATCTTTCCCACAGGCTGGCATCTTCTTCCACCTCTACTGTCCCAGAGCTGCTGTCTCTCAGATTTCCCTGCTTCTCGCCCCGCCCGCCTGTAATTAAGAACACATTACCACGAACACCTCCGCTAGGCATGAGTGGTGGCCCCAGAAATACTCCTGCCTCAAAGAAGAGGAAACCTTCAAATGTGGAAGTGAAGTTAGCTGTAAGAACTGCTGCCATCAAAGTCACCACCTCTGGCATTTCAGAGGTGCCAGGAACGTGGATGTCGGGGCTCTTGTTGGCTCTGGGCCCCTTTCCCTGAGCCCTTCCATGCCCTGCTTCTCCCTTTCCACTCCTACTGCTGTGATAGTTTTCTTCTGCTCTTTGCAAATGTACTCCAGGGCATTTTTGTGTGGGTTAAATAATTTTCACAGTACTTTCTCTGGTAGAAAATTGGGTCCAGGTTTCCAAAAAACCTTTTAAAAATCAAACTTTTGGATCACATGATTTTAAATTAGGGATTTTACATATTTTTCTTCAGTTACTAATTGGCCATGATACCAAACAGCGCAAAGAGTGTAAGAGGAGCTCTGTGGTCCTGGAATCATGGGCCCGAAATGGCAGCATCATAAGCACTTAGTAACTCAGGAAAAAAGTGCCCAGTTCTCAGGCCCCACCCTGGCCACTGGGTCAGAAACCTACCGGGTCCAGCACTCTGTGTTTCAATTAGTAAATCCTCTGAGGAATTCTGAAATGAATTGTTTCACCAAAGCAGAAGACAGTGGTGAATGCCAAATTATCAGGATGTTTGTAATAAGACACAGATTTTTTAAAAAGGCAACATTAAAACAGGAATCCACCCATAATCAAGCAGGCTGGGCTGAGGGCTTCTGAAACTGCATCACTCTGAAACATAATTCAGTTCAGACTGATATTTGAACTTACATTTTTTTTTCCCTCCCAAACATGCACAGCAAATAAAAACATGTTCATTCAACAAATGAAGTGATGTTTTGGCCAGAGGAGTGACAGTGACACGTCCTAAAGCAACGAAGGAGGCGCGTGGAGTGGGAAGCTCGCTGACCACTCACCTCTGCCCCCCACGCCCCCCAGCCTGATTGTAGAAGGGTCTCAGGTGTTGAGCTACGAGGACCCGTCTAAGAATTAAATTTAACCGAGGACATCTGCACATAAGCATATTTAATTGCAAATGAACTTGAGGACACTTTTGTAATTGCTTAAAAAAGTAACCTCTAAGTAATTTCAAAGCAAATACTAAAGAAAAACCTTATTTTCAGAATGGTAGTGCCTAAAAATGTTTTTACTTTTAATATTAATCATATCAAAAAATCTTTAGTGAAAAATGTCTAAGCTTTCTAAGACCTATTAATAAAGACACACACTTCTCCCTAAATATTACTGGCAAACTTGATAATTTAACACTCAAAGGCATTTGTTTGAATTAACCCTAAATTTTTAGGTCACTGGGAAGTTTTTGGTTCTTCAAAACTACAGCATGAAGTCCTCGCAAACAACTGAAAGACTCTAATCAAGTGCCTGACTGAAGCAAGGGTGTCAAAATCAGAGCTGGTGTGGTCTCTGGTCTACCTTACTAGGCCAGAGCAAACGTCACACAGCACCGGCGGCACAGTATCCTGCGGCCCCGGGGTGGGGGTGGGGGAAGGGGGTGAGCCAGGTAGAGTATGACATAGTAGAATTGGTCTGTATTCTGTATTTCGAAAAACCTTTCACATTCAGCGATGTATTAAATGAGGCAGCTTTTATGCATCTTAACAAATTTTACAGTATATAGCAAATTTTTTCATAGGAAATAAACAATGTCACTACTTAATAACCCCACTACCAGGGAATTCCCTCTACCTTTGCCAAGGGAACAATTCTTGGCTTCACAGAAATGGCTCCACCCACTTGCTGTGGTCTGGAATCTACACCCCCATGTGCTAAAACAGAGGAGCCAGAGCAGCCCGGGATATCCAGTGAATCTGCTCTACTAAGGGGTCAGCGGGGAGGATGCTTGACACATGCTAACCATCAACTTGAAGATTATACTTACAAGTTGCAAAGTTACCTGTGTCTGAAGCAATTAGGTATTCCCCCTCCCTCTACTCCTGGTCAGATAAATCCTATAAACTACCACTCGAACAAAGGCATGTTTGAAAACCAATGCTGGTGTACAGAGGCGTCTGGGGAGTCTGTGACCCACACTGTCACCTGCTCCTCTGGATAAGAGACACTGCCGAGTGGAAGTGAGCCTGCCTAGAGGCCTGCACATGAAGGTGCTTTACTTGATGTTGACGGTTTACTCAAAGCTGATTTATAAAGATTTCATGCTCTGCCCTCAGAAAGCCTGCAATTCATCCAAGGTACAGTCATAGATTAGATTAGCGTGAACGCTATCTCCTGGTTTAATTAGGCTCTGAACCTAAACACAGTATGAAATTTACCAGTTCAGTAATAAAAAGTGATAAACACTCTAATGTATTCTTAAAGAGAAAATTTCAATTAAATAGAAGTTTTCCAGAGTCTAAAAGACAAATAAAAGTAGGAAAACACATTTTTAAAACTCAGGAAAAATGCTCATACCGTATAAAGTCATATATCCCCTGTGAATCCACACCGAATGCCTCCTGTAACAAAAACCCTGTGCTCTCAAGGTTCATAGGCAAACACAAGAAATGGAACAGCACACCTGCTCCCAGGGTGCCCTGACCCCAGCATGGAAGAGGAAAGGCGAGCGGTGACTGGGCAATCCACTGCCATGGAGACGAGTCACTCAATGTGAATGTTGTAAAAGGCTCACTGGTTTGAGGTTGAGCAAGTTTTTAGACAGGAGAGTTCTGAATAGGAGCCCCAATGTCACTTGGGGAAGGTGAACAGGAAGTGAGGCACTGAGAGGAGGAAGCCCAAGTTTATACACAGATCTCCTCGCTGCAGGGAACACCGGAACTTCCAGGTTGCACAGTGCTGGGCGGTGGTGGTGAACTTATCCTTTAGAACGGCTGTCATTTCTAAAGTTGAAAATCAGTCCACTGAGCTACAGGGAGTTAAAACTATAGCCGACTCAGAAGGGCAAGAAAGAAGTTCACTGACAGGGCAAAAACAGAAATAAGAACCCACTGTGGAAAAAATGTGAGTAGATCCTCCCAGGCCCAGCAGCAGGGCAACAGCTCAGAGTGGGAGGCAGTCACCGGGGGCCGCCTGGGACAGGGTGCATCGGAATGCCCCCATCAGTGTGCGTGCACACTCACACCCAGCAGCCCAGGCAGGAATCCAAAGGCTGCTGGGGTGTCCCGCAATTACGCAGCCCCCCCACTTTCACCTCTTAGATATAATTATACCAAAATGATGTATGTGAATAGCCGGTAGCAGCAAACATCTGACTGAAAGCTTAGCTATGTCTTACAGCTTCCAGTCGGGGATGTTTACAACAACAGACCTTCTACACGAGTAATTAACAGAAGGGGCAGTCACAAGCCCTGCCATCACCACAAGCCCTGCCATCACCACCTTTGTCTCATGACTTACAGACTCTAGTGCTGAATGATGTGTGTGACATCTTGGAACAAAAATGGTAAGGTTAATGCTATTAGTGAGCAAGAGGCTAAGTGGTTCATCAGATGCAATTCTTCCCTAAGAAACTAATTTACTAATTTAAAAAGAAGATATGAATGGCAGACTTACCTTGGAAAACAGGCCCCATTAAAGATATTACCCAGTTATCCTACATGAAGACATGTATTTCTATGTAATACACACAAAACTGAATGTTTCTCTCCCCAAATCTAGTGTCAAAACTAATAATAACCCAAATAATGAGACTGGCCCTGCATCTGCCAAAAAAGGCCCAATTTATGCTCTTTCCCTCATATTATTAAAATTGACTTCTCTCATTAACAAAAGCACCTGGGTGTACACTACTGACGCAGTGGATTTTACTGGCCATGGACCTATACTGAGTTAAGAGTCGAGTATTTTTTTCTCACATCCCCAGTTGATTTAGGTTTGGGACATACAGAACATGGAAATGAACAAAGCAGATAACCAGAGGAACAAATCCATGACCTTGGCTGTGTTTCACAAAGCAATAGCACTGAAACCATTTTGTTTCCCACACCGCTTTCCTGAAAGAGAAAAAAAAAACATCAAGCAAAAGATAGAAAATCTGCACTTGACTGAAACCAAGATTTGCTTTAATCTGAAACATGTAAAATAACTAGCTTAAAAATCTAAAACAATAAGAGCTTACAATTAAGTTACAGCGATTTCCAAGAAAGAAACACAGATGAATACGTGATCATGCCAATGCACACACCTTCTACATAACAACTACTAAAGCACTAATTTTGAAAGACTACTAATTTTCTAATATCTGCTTTTTGGAGAAACTATGGACTAAGGGATTTTAGTCACTGGTATTTACCCTGTGATAATATTTAAAGGTTGCTTTCTGAAATACATATTTTTAAATGTTGTAAATAAAGTCTCCCATTATTCAGGTCACGCTGGCACTAATGAAGACAGGGATGCGGTCCCTATGGATGCAAGGCGGCCTTCGCTGTTTCTGAAGACACATACTGGGGGAAAAAAAATCCAGTGGCTATTTACGAGGATTCATCAAGCTATTCTACAATTGAAGAATTCCAGATTTAAATTAGGAAAAAAACAGCCATTTCATGCCCAGGTAGGCACACAATACTCAACTAATTAGGACGCTGCGCATTAAGTGCAGTGAACCAGTTACTCCAACTCTCTCCTCCAATTTCCGTCTGTTCTAAATGCTTTTAAAAGGTGATCAAAAGAAAAGTTGTATCAAAGCTACTATATCCAGCACATACGTAACACATGGAATCTTTTCTTCAGGGTTATCAGGGAATTTTGTCAAATGCCATATGTGATTTATTTTTGAAGACCACTGAAAATTTATGTGCAGAAGTTGAATAATTGTAAGAAAATCAATTACAAAATACTTCTATAATCACAAAATACCCGGTAGACACAATCTTTCATTATAATATACAGGTTATAATTTATAAACACTGAACTCTGTTTTTACCCATAAGCAGCACTCAGGACTCAGGTCTAGGCTTGTGAGCATGCCGCTGAGGCTGAAGGCTCACCCCATCACCCCTGGGCGCGCTGACCCCATCTTCTTCAAGAAGGTCTTACAGGTCTGAGAGTCACTGTTCTTAGTAGGGGGTCAGCACCTTTACACTTTCCACTTACAAAATTTTTATGATAATGGACAAAACGTACATCACATACATAAGATCTGCTGGCCAGACAGGCGGCTCCTGGACCTGCTGGCTGGCACCGGGCTGCTGTGCGGAGACTGGAGCTGGCTGCCACACCGACCTGTCCACGGAGGTGGCGAGTGCCTGAGTCTGACCTGCGCCAGAGCACGTTTTGCCACGGATTCTGTGGTAGCACCAACCTCAAGTACAGTGTTGAAAACAAGTCAGAAACCTAAATACATCTATCACTGTGACAACCCCCACAGGTGTTACTAGATGGGAGTTTCACTGGGCTTAGAAGTTTTATTGGAACACATAACAAAAATCAAGTTTAAGTTATCTTGTAACTTAAAAGATAAACATACTGAAAACAACAACAAATGAAGTAAAATTCTCAATTGGCTCAGATTTTGCATCCTCCAAAATAAAGCAAGTTTTTCATTTGTTGAAATCCGGGGGTGCGGAGGAAACCCCCCCAGAAGTGGTATGCCGCAATGCTGACGCTGCACTTTCAAATGAGTAGGGCGGGGTGGGGGGGTGGCCAGGAGCACAGGCAAGAGAGGCCAGTCTTCGGGGAGACATGGCGGGGACAGGAAGAAAACTTGGTGGGAGGCATGAGTTTGCCAGTAAGTGGAACACAAGTAATGGAGCAGAAAATACTGAGGGGAAAATAAACCAACCCATAGATATCCCCCCAAAATATCCCATCCTTGTTTTCAATCCATTCGATATTTACCATGCTCTAGATACTCACGTTTAAAAAAACAAAACAAAAAACCAGCAGAGGCCAGAAAGGGGAAAGAAATAGGAAGAGGAACTGATACCTAAATCAATACGGTCAATTCACTTGCAAATCTGATTAAGTAGCAAGGTGCTTAGGAAGGAAAGATCAGAGAACAAGTTTCCTGTGGTCCAGGCTGACCAGTCAGGCCCCTGACTGCTACCTGCTCTGTGAGGAAGGTTCCTGACAGTTCTCCTTGTCCTCCAGGCCTCACCACAAGCTTTGGCTGGGTGGGAGGGCAGGTGACGGATGCATAGGCATGGCTGCTGTGCCCTGGCTTCCCTCAGTCACTGCGAGCTGGGAGGGTCTCCAGGAGCCACTAGCTAGTGACCTCATCTGATGGCAACTAAGCCTGGCAACTGCAGTGAGACTGGACAAAAGTCACAGGGAATAATTATGACATGACCCTAATAACAAAGGAAAAATAATGTAGCCCCACCTGCTTTCCTAGATTCTGAAAACAACCAAGGAGAAAATGATGAAAGATGTCAAAATGGATCAAACCTCAAATGGAAGTCATGTTTCTTGCTACTTACCTAATTTCAGAATGGCTTTTATCTTTATAAACTCATTTATACCTGTTTAGTTTGAAATATTGTTTTCAAGCTTTCTAATAAGGAAACTACTTAGGGGTATACTTGAGAAGGAGAATCTTCTTCTCCAGCCAAGAGGTATAAATGACTCTCCTACTAATTTATCGTTCATAAAGCCTATTAACCTTGGTTCCTTAAGAGATCACATCTGTTCAATCAAATCCTTGCATTTCCACTGACACACAAGCTGTGACCTTGAGTATATAAATCAATTGCACAGAATCAGTTTCCCAATCTATAAAATAAGAAAACCCTATAACATGGAATTAAAAACACTCTCTCTGAGTGGCTGTGAAGATTAAATAGATAAAATTATAAAATATAGCAGCACTGTTGAAACAACAGAGCGCTCCACAGCTGGGATGGTGCTTCTAGGTCTGTACTTTCCTGAAAAACCTCACCCCAGGAGTCGGAAGACCTGACAACCACGTGGGTAGGTCTGTGTGGAGACAGCGCAAGCACACAGATCTCCACTCCACCACCACGACGCTGGCGTCACCTGACCAGAGGCTGACCGGGCCACCTCCAAATGATGCTGCAATATCGATGTTAGAAACGCTGCTGTTTTCACTAAACGCTGCTTACTTCTCAGTTAAGATCTTTAAAACACACAGTTATAAAAGATAAACTTGGTTTCAATTATTTTTATTTATAACATACAGCTGAGTTCCTGTAAATACGTTCCTCCAATGAATTTTAAAAATGTTGGCATTAAAATGTTAACTTAAATAGCATTTTAAGAATAAACTATTGTACAAATTAAGCTGTATCCAGTCTTATAATTTATTTGCCCAAGTGAAAAAAAGTCATTTCTTTTAGTCATTCAAACAGCTACAGTAGTTTAAATTAACTTAAAATCCCAGAACATTTTCTTTTTCATTGATAAACACTGTCCAAATCCTGAGGATAATATGAAGAGGTCCTGAAGTAATGTGAGCATCTTCATGAATGTGTATCAACATGCAAATTCAGAAGCAAAGTGCAGATGGACACCATGTCCCATGGGGCCGCTGGAGCCTGAAGCCACTCCAGGGCACTAGCAGCCACCACGTGCCACCGGATCAACCTGTGGAGGCAGGTCGGAGGGCGACTGCTCCCCAGCCACACTCCTGACTGGTAGCTCCTCTGGCTGTGCTAGGGCCCTGGCCCCACCACACAAAGCAGCCCCAGAGGCGCCGGGTCGCAGTGGGCCACGGGGGCCTTGGGAAGATTCTACGGCACTCCACCACACCACTTTCCCAGAGTCCCAGCTAGAGGATTTTTAGATTTGGGTCCAAATCTCTAGTACTTGTTTCCATGTCACTTTCTAGTTTCTTAAAAGCAGAGGGAAGGGAGCTAAGGAAAGATCCTAGTTAAGAAGACTGGTTCATTTAAGTCTGACTTTAGTTTTATGAAGGCTTGCCTGAGTTGTTGGCTGTATCTTCTGGAAAGGGGAGTTTCAGATGTAAACAAAAGGGATTAAAAATACAGAGGGGAAAGCCCACCACCAGTTAGTTAATGGAAGGAAGTAATACGTGGTGACAGATCAACTTAAAATTCAACTCAGGCCAATGAGCTACTAGAGAGGAAAAAGTGTGAGGACGGACTCTCGGCTCCTGTCCAGGTTCAGAAGAAAGGTGGGGCCGCAGGCGCGGGGAAGGAAGGACGGGTGGTGACAGAGTCAGTGTCACCCACGGTGTCACCCAGCACGCTGGACTAGGGCCTACACAGGGCCTATGTGCTGAGGCCTAGCAGGCAGACGCTGCCCTGTGGTGGGGCTGGAAAGCGTGCTCCAATGGCAGCCAACGCTGGGCATCCACAACCTGGAGACAGACATCCATGGTGCCCATGGGGGTCCACTGAGGACATCTGTACAATTTCTAATAACAAAACGGATGAAAACTTCAACCAAACGCTGTCATTCTTATGTTCAAAACTACCAAGGCCCCCATGCGGCGGGTGGGGCGGGAAACAATACCACACTCACACTCGGCTGTCCCCTCCGCAGCCTCTGGAACTGACTAGAGGCAGAGTCCAGTCTCTCACTGCGACCCTGTGAGCAGAGCGCCCTGACTACAGAAATTCTGTTAATGTTCAGACGCCAACTGTGGCGCATTCACCGTTTTTCTAATCATGTTCTGATAGTCTAACCTGAGGAAGGCAGAATTAGATGACAATTAAGAACCTGACAGTCAGACAGAATTAGGCCAGCATCTAACTGTGACTTAGGGAAAGGGACTTTACTTTTCTGTGGCTACTTTCCCAACTGTAAAACGAGAATTTAAAAGACTTATCCACCTGGTAGGGTTATTGTGAGACTGAGTAAGATAGGGAATGTCCACCAAATGCTGACCCCAGCACAGACACAGAGTTAATATGCAAAAATGGAAGGAGAAAAGGGAAAAGACTGTTTATCTTCTCTGCAAGTTTGTCCACATACCTTTTCCCACTTTCAATTATGTTTCATTTTTATAAATCCAATTTATCCTTCAAGGTCCAGTTCAAATGTTAGTTCTCCATGAAAATTTCACTAATAAAACCAGTCACTGAAAACATATCACAGACAGACCCTTAAGAGTAGCCAACACTTGCATCAGGTACTAGTATTTTTGCAGACGAGGACCGCGACGTAGAAAGCAGTCAGCCCAGAGTCTCCCAGCAGCTGGTGCAGGTGGGCACCTCCACAGCCAGTCTGGAGCCCGCCCTCACGACTGGGCCACATGTCTCCGCTGTCAACTGAGAAGGATGAGTAGTTACTGCGAGGCCTGACAGTTTTATATTTAGTGCAGCTGGAGACGCTTTCTCTACAAGCTAATATCATTCACAATGGGTAGCTTATTCACCTTTCATAGACAATCCTTCTATAGTTCAGCTCCTCAATCTGCACAAAATAAATGCAGTGGGGAAACAGTTATTCACACAGAATTTGGTTTTATCACTTATCGAGGCTAACTTGAGTCCGACTTTCGCAGTTCACACTTCTAAGATTCGAGCTCTCTCCCTTCTAAGGCCCAGGAGATGGATAATTTTATCCTCATACGACCCACGAGATGGAGACTGTCAAAGCCCGTTGTCATCTAAAGCTCTGTGCTAACAGTACCAGCAACGGCTCACCGAGTCGTCTGGACAATGTCTGCTGCACTCTGGGCTCACACAGGCTCGGGAATACGGAATTGAGTCCTACAAGAAAAAATACAAATATACATAGTCTTCGTGTGGAGACAGAAAGTACCTCCCCTTTGTCAGCACAGAAGGGCACGACTCAGACCCACCTATCCAAAGGACACTGTTTAGGTTTCACAGAAAACATAAGCTCCTGAGAGTGAAAGACTTGCAAGGAAAGTACAGTCCCCCTCCCTGGAGCAGGGCCCCTGCACGCACCTGTCCTCTGAGTGCAAGCTGGTGCTCCTAAGATTCGGAACGTGTGTTAACATCCACAATGAAAGTCACGTGCTGGTTTTCTTAGGAGTGGCCAATCCCCCCAAATAAAATATGGTAAAAAGGCAAGGAAGCCAAAATACATAAACAAAAAAAATTGTTTCTCAGTTTCCTTTGAGAATTTTTCAAAAATTAAAATGAGTAAGATCTACATGAGTTGGGAGGAGGAAGACATAAATATCAACAATTCTTAAATTAGTCTCTAAGTGGCTTTCTAGCTAATCTAAGACTCGCTGCCATTTTAGAGGCTTACAGTGGGTCAAGAGCACAGAGGCCTTCAGGCTCCCCAGCGTCAGGAGCAGAACAAGGCCATCCAGACAAATCTTACTGGTCAGATATGTATGGCCTGGCCCCTGGTGTTTAACCTGGCCCGCTGTTAGCTCAGGACTATGGCTGGGAGGAGTTAAAAAAAAAAAAAAAACACAGGGAAGGGCGAACAGCTGCGGCGACAGGATGCAGGCCACACAAGGGAGCGGGACATGCAACCTGCAGCTGAGTGGACTCTGAACGCAGAGCCGCGCCAGACACGCCTACCACGGACCTAGGCGCTTGCCTGCAACATGGCATTTAACTTACATGCCAACTGTTTACTTGTGTGTCTACATGAAAGGAGGGACTGTCTGATTCATCCCAACATTCTCAAACCACGGGTAAGTGCTAAACAGCCTGAGTGTAAAATAAATGAGCAGCAGAGAAGAACGCAGCAGATCTAAAGCAAACTGATGTCACCATCTTTTCCATGAGTCAATGTTTTGCCTCAAGAACTTCTCATCCTACAATGGGGAAGAGAACAAAAACCAGGCTCACTTTATTTTTAATGTTTATATACTGTGAGCCATTTGACCTCTTTGGATCTAAGCAGGCTCTTCTATAAAAGGAAAAAATTAGGACTAAATACTACTAAACGTCACTCAGCGCAACCTTCGTGGGATTCTAAGGGGGTGCCCATCTTGGCAGTCGGAGGCGCTACTGATCCCGGAGCCCCGCGATCACCAGCCTACTGCAGCTCAAGTCACGCTCGTGGCTGCTACACTAGCAACTGCCGCCTGGCTTACTTATTAAAGGGGAAAAATCCACAAAACAGAATTTTTGAAAATAGATACAAGTGCATAACGAGTCTTAGTAAAATTTAAAGGATAGGAAACTGATTTTGATCATCTGGCAAGGATTTTTATAGCACGGAAAACAAGTCGTCTCACGTCTCTTGGGCAACATAAACTCCCATCACTAAAGGACACCGCTCGCCGCTGTTGCAGAGTGAGGGGCACATGCAAAGGGCCATGGCAATGTTTCCCTCCAATGACCCTGTCCCTCCTCTCTTGACCCTCAAATGGCTGCCACTGCTCTCAGATGCCACCCTCTCCTGTGCCTGTGAGGCGCTGGCCCCCCAGACTGCTCCATGTGTCCCCTCTAAGACCTCCTGGCTTCTGTTTCGCCAATCTGCTAAATCGCCCCTACTGTGGAGGGTCTGCGTGCTCTCTCCTGCCAAACAGTTTCACAAAGATCTTCATATGCCTGGTCCCTTCAAATTCTTTTGGGGTCTCTTCCTCAAAAAAGTCCCACCTGCTGAACCACTCTGCAGTGGGCCCCCCACCCAGAAGTTCTTTACCACATCTCCCTCTTCAATTTTCTTCACAGTACTTACTTACCACAACCTGAAATCATCTCATTAATTTATTCCTTTATTTGCTTCCTATCTGCCTCTCCTATTATAACCCGCCAGGATGGAAGCTCCATGAGAGCAGGAGTCTGGCTTATCTTTTCCACTCCTGTAATTCTGCAGCTGGGGAGAGTGTCTGCAGGCTTTTATGGTGAAACTGACAAACATTCTAAAATTCATAAAGAAAAGCAAACAGTCAGTGCTAAACACCGCTTTATGAAATAACAGTGGGAGCTACTCTTTTTGAAAGGACTGTGTCCATCTCACTGAACTTCACAGTGGCTGCGTCAAGTGGGCAGTATCATTGTAATTAACGGACTGGGGCAGAGGAATAACCTGATTAAAGAAAGGCATAAAGGCGATGCCTAAAATATAAATTTGGATCTTTTCTTCCAAACTTTGTTTCCTTGATGGCACATCCGTTCTGCTAATTATCTAGATTCTACATAATTTTCAATCTCTGAACATTTAAGAACTGTAAGGATCCAAAAAAAAGGGAAAGCTGTCTCAAATGAAGTTAAGACAAGATTCTTAAAATGAAATTGTCATTTCTGTCAAATGATTTCAACAAACGAGTGAGATATTAACTAATTACACTAGGAAGTGTCTAAAATAATTCATACTTTTAAAGGATATGCCTAAAATGATCAAAGGTAATCTTAACCCCGAATGGAAAGGGTCATCCATCTGTTTAAGTTAGTGAGGCTAGAGTGAAAACCCGTAGTGAAGGAGCAACAATTAACTGGATGAACTTGATAATATATATCATTTATAACAGCACAGAAACATGTGCAATGTTTAGGGGTGGTGATGTCCACTTCTGCGTATCAACTTGGTTATTAGACCTTGCACCCAACTGTTGGGTCAGACAAGTAGACACTGCTGTGAGAGTATTTTGTAATGTGATTAACACTTGTAATTGGGAAGTAAAGGAGATGGCTCTCTGGAATGTGTTGGGCCCTATTCGATCAGTTGAAGGGAGATTTCTGCAGAAGGAATTCAGCCTCCAGACTGCAAAAGAAATCCTGCTGAGTTTCTCACCTGCCAGCCAGCCCTACACACCTTGGACTCAGGACTGCGGCACCAACTCTCTGGCCTGAGATCCCAGCCTGCTGACCTGTCCTATGGATTTCAAACTTGCCAACCCTCACAAGCATGTCAGTCAGTCTCAATCCCCAATATGTAGCTACCTGTCAGTCTGTCTTGCAGATGAAACACAGTCTCCCATATCCCGACACAGGGCTATGTATGTGGCCACAATATAGAAGATCTATACCTAAAAACCACCAAATCTCGCTAAGAAAAGTGAAAGCACTCAGATAAGCAATACCATATTCATAGACCAGGAGACTCAGTATTCTTAACATGTCAAGAATACTGACAATACACTCCTTATCAAAGTCAGGAGTTTATTTTTTTAAGAGGTTGACAAATTTATTCAAAATTCATAAGGAAATGCAAAGGACCTAGACTTGTCAAAACAACTTTAGAAAAGAGTAAGACCAGAGGAGTGACACCATCCAACCTCAGCACTCAGTATGCAGGTCCGGTAGGCAGAGGGCGGCGCTAGTGTCACAACTGACCAACACCCCAACCAATAGAATGGCAGCCAACAGAGAAGCACACATGTATGACCAGCTGGTTTCTGATAAAGATGCAAACTCAATTCAGTGGAAAAAGGGTTATTTTTCAACAAAGTGATGCTGCAACAATATCCCACACAATTTTTTGATCCATGCCTTAAAACAAATGCAGAATTTAACTCAAAGTGGGTCACTGACCTAAATAAAAGTAAAGTCTAAAACTATATAATTTATGAGAAAACACAGAAGAAAGACTTTATGAACTTGGACTTGCAAAGATACGTCTATGCAATAGCAAAAGCATACATAATCCATAAGAGAACAAATTGATGAATTAGATTTCATTAAAATTAAAAACTTCTGTTCTCCAAAGACATTGCTGAGAACAAAGAGACAAACCACAGACTAAGATAAAATATTTGCAAATCATAAATCTGATGAAGAACTTTTATCCAGAATACAAAGGACTTTGAAACTCAGTAAGAAAATAACCAAATTTTTAAAAATGGACAAATGTTTGAACAGATGCTTCACCAAAGGAGGAGATGGTAATTGAGGACATAAATAGATGAGAAACACTAGTCATTAATGAGATACAATGAAAACCATGCCATACTACTGCACACCAACTAGAATGACAATTAGAAAGATGAACCAAACCAAGTATTGGCAAAATGCTGTTAAGAAAGTTAAATGGTAGAACCACTTTGGAAAAAGTTTGGTTTCTAAGGCGCTATTACCTAGCATGCGTTTCAGCCACTCCACTGCTCAGTATTCACCCAAGAGGAACAGAGGCATACGCCCACACAGAGATGTGGGTACTGTGTGGGAGAGCACAGTAGCCTTCTTTGTAGAAACCGAAAACTGGAATCCACCCAAGTGTGTACTCACAGGTGAATGGCCACACTAAACGAGCCAGACAACGGAATGCTACTTAGTGATAAAAAGGTATAAATTGTGGATAAATGCTACAACATGGATAGATCTCAAAATAATCGTGCTAGGTAAAGAAGGCAGCCCCCAAAAGGGCATCCTAGGTGATGCCAATGAATGGAACATGAGAGAAAACAAACAGCGGTTGCCTGGGCAGAGACAGGGGATTACCAGGAGGAACAGAGGACTTTAGGAGCTGATGGATGCCCAGGGCCTCTGGCAGTGATAATGGCGCTGTGGGCACATCCGCGTCAAAGCTCACCTCACTGTCTATTTCCAACACATGCACTTCACTGTACAATTAAATCTCAATGAAATTGTTTAAAATAAAGACTTGTCAAAAATGTGAAGTAAAAAAAAAAAAATAGCTTTCTCAGCAAAAAGAATAAAGGCTAGCCTAGCCTTTGTTGGGATGTTGCACGTCTATCCTGAGCCAGTGTTTTTAAACAAGAACAGTGATCTTTAATCTGGGAAGGGTAAATACAGATAAAGGAAAAAAAAAAAAAAGAAAAAGAAAAAGAAATTGAGCACAAAATAAGAGACAGTAAATAAAAAGTAATTGCTTTAAATTCATATTTATAGATAAGAAAAGTCCTATCTTAAGATACTAAATGTGTCTTCAAATTTAGTAATTTCCACGGAATCACAGTGTAGCATCATGAGAATAGATACAGTCTCCATGCACAATTTAGAACAGATTTTTCAATAAGGAACAGGCTTCTGTAGGTAACACATTTGCTCCTGGTTCTCAACCATTTTCTCAAGATCCCTTGTCAGAATCATTTCTGGTTCTTGTTCCAACTGTCCCTTAACGGATGGGTGCTTTCCAGAGCCTCACTGTACAACAGGGAGTCACAATTCATTCCCTCTGATGAAAGGGCCTGAAACAGTGCACAGTGACACACAATTTTAGAGGTAATTACTTCAAAGGTTTTGTGAGCTCCCCTGAACCCTATCCATGTAGGCCTTAGCTTCTCAGTGTACGAAAATGCATCTAGCGCCCCAGCAAATACCCCATATCAAAGCAAGGTGCATACATGACTATGGCAATAAGGAATTTGAGGCTCAAAAATAAAATTCACATGGACCTGATGGCCTCAAGATACTTTTTTTTGGATGTGCTGGAGAAACAGTTCCACCAAGCAGATTCAGAGGTGACCTAGGGTGTGCTGGTTATAGACTTATGAAGAACACTTCTGATAACCATTCCATAGAAGCCCATCTTTTTAAAACATTTGTTTTACAAAAGGTAATTGAAACGAGGATGTAGAAAACATGCCTGTCAATTTTCATGCTAGGAAACTGATAGTGGTCAGCTGGAGCACAGACCCAGGATTTAATACACACTGACTAATTCAGTCTAGGGGTGAGGTGAAGGTCAGGAAGAATCCTCATACATCTTTGCTCTTAATCCCCAGCTACTAATAACCCATGGGAATTAAGTGCATCCACCATGCTGCATGCGCCTTGAGGACAGGTCTACGTTCTGTCTTCACACAGCACCTTGGGGGATGACGGGATCACAGCCTACTAGGACTATGTTATGCCATGCTAACAAATGGTACCAAAATCACAGTGCCTTACAGCACCAGGATTTATTCCTCACTCACATTAAGTGTCTATAAAAGATGGGCTTCAGCTCTGCTCCATCTTTTGGGACCTAGTCTGAAGGTTCAAGGTCCACACTCGAGGCCCAATCCCACTGAGGCAGGCTGGTTCCCCAGCTGGAAAAGAGGCGCTGGCAGAAGCCCAAGTTGGAATCGAAAGCATCTGCTCAGACATGCCAACCCTCACTCCCTTCAACATTTTACTGGTCAAGGAAAGCCACATGCCCAAAGCTGAAGTCAACAGGTGGGAAATGTAACCCTCCTGGGCAAAGGACATGAGTGAAGAAAAGGCAATACATATTCTGAGCAATAATAAAACCTAGCACAGTGCGTTCCCCATAGAAAGTGCTCCGTAACTGGCAGGAGCTGTTTCTATACCAGCCATGAATACTGTAGGCAGAGAAATCATCTGTTCAGCCACGGTGCTGGCCACTTGGCAAGGACACGCTAGGTGCTTACTAAGTCTACGGCGCTCAGATGAGCATGGCAGCTGGAGTCTTAAGACCTGTGACGAAGTGCTGCATCTGCCAACTCTAGACACAGAGTAAAGTCGTTTTTCTCCGTTGATTCTTGTGTGGTGGTTGTAGAGATTAAATAAAAATATATGTGAAAGAATCACACTGTTTTATACAAATGTTAGTTCATGTCTCCAGATAGTTGAATGGGATGAAATTTGATAAGCTCACTTAAACTTTTATAGCGATGTAATGTATCATAGCCCACGTTTACTTCAAAGCATCAACTAGCAAATATAGGAGGAGAAAGATTAGACTTAAAGCTGTTCACATGAAAGAGACAAGGCTTTGGTTGACCATAAGCTCAATATGATCAAAGGGGAATGTGGCTGCCAGAAAATGTAATGCAAATTTCAGGCAGCGTTAACAGAAGTACAGTGTCCAGATAATAGCGTCATTGTGTTTGGCGGGGGTCAGAAGGCATCTGGTGTCCTCAGCTCAGTTCGGGCAGCGTATTTGAAGGGTGGACTGACAGGCAGACTTTGTCATGAGTTTAGCGATGTGCATGGAGAAAGATCTGTATGCGAAGTCATGTACATATGGTTTGAGAATTACGGCTTTTCCCCCTAAGTATAGCAAAAAGAAGACGCAACTAGGATTTCATGGTCTTGTCCAAACACTTTAAGAGTTATGGTGTGTAAGAAGAGTAAGTTTCACATGGCAGCCCTAGACTGGCAACAAGCAGCGAGTGAAAATCAGAGGGGAAATAGATCTAGCTCAATTAGAGGTTCACTTCTAACGATTAGAAACCATCTAAAGCGAGGAGAGGTGGATGACACCATGGCTAGAGATGGTATCGAGGAGACGGAACTGGGTATGAGTCATCTAAATCTCACTCGCTCCTCTGTGAGACCAACCATTTTTGAGGTCTCTGAAAACACCCAAACAGTATTTCTCCTTTCTGATTAAATAATACTATTTCATAGTAACAACAAGGAACAAGAACTGAGGTAAGGAGAAAAACAAGAAGTCGTGGGGCCTAACAAACAAAGAAAGGCATGTTGCTGAAGGGAAATGAAATTTCAAGACTCGACAACATTCAACACAGTCATCACCATGTCTTGGCTTTTACAGAGGAAACAGGTTTAGTCAAAATTGTATTTATTTTAGAAATGGTTTTTGCCACTATGCCCTAACTTCTGTAATTTTCTGGGAGGTACAAAATTATTTGAAAAATTCCAATGATGGCACTTGAGCAAATATTTGCTACATTAAACTACTGTTCTAATTACCAGATAATATTAGTGTATCGATCGACTTGTATAAGCTTTGCAATTTCCCATGCCAGGCCACCACCGGCACGTCTCTGGCATTTAAAAACGCTCCCTCGCTAATGTCTCATTTTGTTTCCTTGCTCTGTTCAAAATCCAGCACTTTCCCCGTCTCATCCCCAGCTTTCGATTTCCTCGTATTCCCACATACCTTGTTGTCCCAGTAGGACTCAGCAGAAAAGATAAATAAATGCCTCGCTTATCTTTTATCCCAGGCCCTCATCTGAGAATCACTCAGAGTTAGCATAAACACACAAAACTGTTTGCTAAATTCCTTTCTTTAATGAAATATTTTGAAGAGTTACCAGCTAGCCTTGTGTTTTAACTGTTACACAAGAGAAAGACAAGCCAGGGCCTGGGCACACTGGGTATCATCTGTTAGAAGCAGAAATGGATGGCCACGCTTCACAAATACCTTGGGACGCAATTCTTCTGCCCTTAAATTTGGCTTTGCATCCTAAATGGACATATTTAACAGGATTTTCAGTTACATTGTACTGACACAAACTATGATGCCCTATTTACCTCCCTCCCTGCAGATACCTATGTCAAAAAATGAGCTAAAGAAACAGGTTCACTGACTTATTAAAGTAAATCTATATGTGGAACAAATGTCAATTCAGATTTTAAACTCTCTATTCTTTCAAGCCAAAAAAAAAAAAAAAAAAAAAAAAACCAACAAAGGAAAATGTAAAAAGGGAAAAAGCTGAATACCTGCGCTCCAAGGCACAGGAGAGGACAGCGGTGATTTGGTGCAGGTAAAGGCTTGTTTAAGAACTTGTCACTGGATTCCTACACTTGCTATTTGCTCCTCTCCCTCCTCTTTTGTGGGCACTACCAAGAATTGCACAGGTCATGGGAACACAATGCTGGGCTGGAGAAATCAGGAGAACAAGTTTTAAATCTGCTATGTCAACCAAGTGCACTGAAACAGCCCATAATCCCCTGGAGAAGGGGAAACAAGCCAGTCAGGAGACAAACAGTTGCCAGTTTAAAGATACAGTAACTACCCCAAAATGTTAAGTTTCTTTAATTTAGATTCTCATGTGTTAAAGCAATTTTTTTTAAAGATTTAAAAAAAACGTTTATGCATATAAGAACTGGGGTACAGGTCAGAGTTGTGTTGGGGAGTGGAGGAGAGGATTCACCAGAGACAGAGTGGGGGACAGAACAGGCGGATCTACTGAATTACACTGCTGAGGGGAGCAGCGGGGAGACGGGTGAGGTCTGCCGCACCATGTGGGTAGCTCCCTGGCGGGGAATCAAACTCATGCAACTCATGCTGCAGTGATGGACGGTCAGCTTGACAGCGCTGAGACTTCAACCCCTATGCCACCAAGGAGGCCCCTTAAAGCAATTATTTTTAAACAATAGGAAAGAGTCACCACAAACACTGATTTCAAGAAGACACTAACAATTAATTATTGCTGCCCAGTACAGTTTTCTGTGTGGTGGGCATTCTTTTAAGTGCTCAACATACACTAGCTCATAGTCTTCATCACAGCCATAAATGCAGCAGTATTGGTAATCTCATTTTACTGCTGAGCACAGAATCATTAAGCAATTTGTATAGGATCACACAGCTACTGACAAGCAGGCAAGGGATATAAATTCAGGAATTTATATTCTGAGTCCATTCTTTTTACCTTTCTGGGCGGGTATCGCTATTTTATACATGTTAACATTTGAAGGTCTTCTTGAGTCTATGAGCTTTCATCACATAAGGGAAATTTTTTTCCCATGGGTGGTCAGGCAGTAAATAATTATTAATAAATGCTTTCATAACCAGCTTTTAGGAGTGAATCCAATACATCACTTCGTTAAGCCGCTAGTCCAATTTTCCCATATACTTTATCTTTTGCCTTTACTGTACTTCATGATAAACACAACTGGGTACCTTTTACATACTTAGCATCATACCTGACACTATGTCGCCACAACTACTTTGCACAGGCAAGAGCTGTGATGTCTTAGTCCAATGAGTGGGCAAGTAATCTACCACCTCTCAAATCTGAAGTGCAATTATTCAACAGGCATCTGAATACTTAACGCACACCAAGCAGTGTGGATGCACAGGCAGATGGCCTCTGCTCTTTAGAAAGGTCACAGTCACAAAACAACGGGGTGGTGCTTCCATGGAGCTCTGACCATGGTTGCCGAGCACAACAAGGATGGCAGTTCCATGGACAGAGGCATGGAAATGCAAAAGGACATTTTCCTTTCAGGGACTAGCAAGCAATTTCAGGACTAGAAGGCAAGATTTACATGGAAAGCCAGGGATACAGTGGTAAGAAGGAAACTGGAACTAGCTTAAAAAAAAGGCCTTATACGTCCTAATAAAAAGACTCAACCAATACAGAGATTTAAGTAGGATGGTTAAAAGATCCAACATGCTAACAAAAGAGATGATCACACCTTTAATTTTAAATATCAGAACTCTGCTTTTAAATAAAATCTTACGCAGACTCCCACACTTAATATGGGATCAAAGCAAACCTGCGCCAGTTGAAATCGGAACAGACCTGCTTGGCTCCCGCCAGCATCCCTGACAGAATAGTTGAAAAGGCCCGCTTCTGAAAGAGAGGGGACTGCATCCACACAAACGCATGCTACTGACTTCACGTCTCCCTCCATAGAAATCTAACTTCTTAGCGGAAGGAGTCATTCTAAGTAGTTCCTCTTCACTTAAAGAACTAGGAATGCTTCAAGCCAAGCATGCTAACACTAGGCCTTCAATGTTAAGGATGAAAGTGTATAATACAGAAAACGGAAGATAAAGGTTAATTATCAGCTTTCTTACTCTTGAATGAGGCTTTAACTTAAGTGACCTTTTCTACCCAGCAAATCAAGATTTATGGTAGGGCAGACCCACCAATCTAACTGTTTCCAAGATTGGTGTACCTGGAATTTCTTAACAATGACTGTATACCTGAAAACCCTCTCCCCACACAGCTGGAGCCATCTGTTCTCCCCCCTTGTAGAGCTTGGGGTTCTCAATGTGATCACTGGAAATGATCATCAGTGTGAAATTGCTTCTTATCTTGCTCAGTCATCTAATACATCCCGAGCCACAGCACGTAAAAGTGGTTAAAGATGTGCAAATGCCTCTCCTGGCAAGACCACTCACTAGGCATGATCTTTACAGTGAGAGGAGCTAATAAGCCAGGACTCGGGCCCTGGTGGTGGGTGTGCCATGGTGACAAACATCTGAAGGGTGTGATCATACCTCTCAATCATACACAGTGCTGTACACCAATGTTACGTCAATAAAATAAATATGCATTTAAAAGCAAGGTTACAATCCTAGTAAAAAGGTATATAATTAATTGAACAAGTCTTACCTCTATATAATTATAATCACTTTATATACAATCTAATTGAATCCCTACAACCCTTCTCTCTACCTTTATCCTGTCCTCTCCTCCCACTAACATTCGTGGAAACAGAACCACTTAGATAGCCTCAAGAATTTTAAGTGTCATTCTCTCTCTAAATAGTAGACTGATTAAAACAAATGTTCAAAACTGTTAAACCCACTATTAACAACCTCACTTTCTCCATGAGGTAAAATAACAGGAAAAAACCCACAACCATCCTGGGTCTCTATCATGCACTGAAAGTTCCCGTAGTTTGAGGCTGAGGGCCAACTTCCCACAACAGGAGGAGGAAGAGGGGAGAGAAGTACAGGATATAAACTAAATCCTGAGCACACTGTATGACCAAAAGGTATTCAAAGTAGGGTTTAAGAGGAGAGGCTTAAACAGAAATGACACAAACATAAGGAAACACCACTTCACATGACACGGAAACCAGCCCAACACTTAGCAGCGAACAGGTCATTTCTGGGCATACTCAACACTCCCCGAATTTGCAAAACCAGCCAATTAGTTGGCTATAAAATTGTCTGGGATAAAGATAACTCTCTGCATTGAGTAAAAATGAGTTATATCACATGCTCTCATGAAATTAATGACTTATGGAATCAACTTAATTACTCTTTTCCACGTCTTTCAAATGTAAAAGTCGGAGGACTATCAAATAATCATTAAAAACAGAGACATTGTTTTAGGAAAAACTTCTTATAAAAAAAAAATAGTATTTCCACGAAAACATACCCAAAAACCTCAGTGTAAAATAACAATCAAAATACTAGTATTAAGCATTTGACTGTATACATTTTACCATATAAGGTTCTAGAGTGAAATTTCATCTCTTAAGGGTTATTTGAAAAATATTCCACAAACAGATATTCTTTTTTTTTTTACAAACAGATATTCTTAAGAGACTCTAGGGCCTCCCTGGTGGCGCAGCGGTTGAGCGCTGGGTTCCAAAGCTGCCCGCAGCCTCTGCAGCGCCGGTTCGATCCCCGGCTGCTCCCCGGCCACCGGAGGAGGGTCCCACATGGCGCACAGACCTCTCCTGCCACCCGCTGCTCCCCTCAGCAGTGTACCTCGGTCCTTCTGCCTGCTCTGCTCCCTGCTCTGGCTCTGGTGAATTCTCTCACCCTCCCGCGCTTCTGGCTGTACCCAGTGCTTGTATAAATAAATAAATTAATTAAAAAAAAAAAGAGAGACTCTATACCTACTGTATTAATTTTTATAATATATCAAATAAAGTTAACTTAGAACAAATACTAACAATAGTTAGAAATATTAACTTACATACTCTGTGTTTTAATTATCCCTCCAATAATGCAAAAATGTTAAGATTATCTTAAACTACATTTAAATTTCCCCTAGGTTGAGAAAATTACAATAATCTTTCTATTTAGGATAACATCTGATTAAACTACATTCAATAACTGAAATTCAAACAATCTCCCAGATGGAACAGCTGGGAGAAAATTAAAAATGATACTTTTTACAAATGTACTTACTAGTGCTGTTATAGATAAGGTAATCCCACACCAAAATGTAGGGTGACCAGTCTGAAAACTACAAACATATAAAAGTGAAGGAAAGTACTTTGAGGAGAAAGAGGAAAATGCAGTGTCATAGGATCTTCAATGACTTCAAACTCTGAACTCAGCCTCTCTTAATTTTAAAGACTTTGCCCAAATTTCTGCAGATTACAAGGTCTAAACTGTTCTATGCACCGCATAGTAGACTTCCACATAGGTATCAGTATGAAGTAATGTTGTATCCTTAAGAAGCTTATCAAATATTTATTTAAAAATCCTACTTTACATAAAGTAAAACTATAGTTGCATGACTGATTGCATGTTATAGCTAAGAAAGCTGGGAACAGAAAATAATCAAATGACATTTGAAAGTGACATTGGGTTAAATAAAGAAATTGAGAACAAAAATTAGCCTTAAGTTCCAATTACAATTTCTAATCATTACCTCTATTCTACATCTTGGCACAAATATGTTTAAAATGCAGGCATCTACTTTTCCTTTGCATGTATTAAAATTTTTAAATTACATGTCCTCATCAAGAATTAATTCAGTAATGAACTTTTTCACCACAATATTCTGTATCCCAGTCCCTAGGGGTATAAAACACAGTAACTGAAAACATTTCTTTTACATCACGTCTTCAATCCTCACTTTTACTCACTTGTTCAAATATAAAAGAGCCTGAACTAAAAAAATCAATAGCATCACTCAAGCTGTTCCTTCAATTTTTATAATATTCAAGCCTTAGCAAAAGGCATAAAACTATTAGTCCCAAGTTAGGCTATTAACCTACTTTCAACATGAAAGTAATTTTGTGCTCTGTTTAATGTACAAAACAAAACAAAAAACTATTCATCACTTAAAAGATACTTGCAACATTACATACCCCAAGTCTTGGCTCTTATCCTTTAAACCCCTTAGCTAAGACTAATGCTTCTCTAAACCTGGGGAGGAGAGGGAGGTGTTACTCTTTTGAAGACGGGCATGAACACTGGAAAGCAAAGTAAATTTGATGAATTAATCCTTAATGTCCTTCGTGGGCAGTTCTTCCCTTTCCCTGATCCCAACAGAAAGTCTGAGTTAACCATGAATAACTGCTACTCATATCAACCCAAATTCTTGTTTCTAAACATCAGCAAAGCAAAATGATTTCATAATTAAAATTCCCCAAATAGTTCTTTCATGATCTCCTGCCATTTCAATAAGCTACTAACAACAAAAAGTCCCTTGAAAGTTTCAAGATTTTGCAGTTATTCTTTTATCAAAATAGAGTTTTCCACAAATGACCCAAATAGGATTACAGCTTAGAAAAATCAAGCCTTTAATTCTGAAGAATAATTCGCACCGAGAGAAAATTTCAAGGTAATGATTTTTACTGCTTGTGCACCTTAGACCACCTCCATTCATTTCAATTTCACGGGCAATCTGGGTACAACTTCTTGGTCTCTGCTGCAGGGCCACTGTCCTGGGGGAGGGTCCCAGAGCATCTGTAACCAAGGGGCTTTCGCCACCCCTGTCACTAAGCTACACCGGACGGCCCTGCAGGTAAACCTGACCATTCCATTTTGGCATGTTAATTAGGTTTCAAAATATTCCTTAAATGCACAAATCAAATGACTCTTTTCCCCTTCAGTTAAGCCATTTTAAAGAGGCAGCATGTAAGTGGCAAAACCCTGAATTTAAGAAATTAAGTGGGCACAGAGGTTAACTTTGCCCTCAAATGCTTTTGAGAAAGGGATGATCTGAGGAACACACCAACAAATCTTACATTCTGCCACAAATGTCCCTAACTTGCATTCCAGTTGATATTTCAAAATTCAAATCGCATGAGAAGTTTCCTATAAAAGGGATCAATGGCACGAAGGCACCTTTTAGTGGAGCCTTTTTGTAAAATACAATTCTCATCTAATGACGGCTCATTTGTTTTGTAATGCTATCCTTTTAAATATCAAATTTCTTAAAGTAGCGCACAGCTGCTCTCATAGGCCCAGCTCATCCCAGCATTCCTGCCCTTCTCCCTGTCTCCCAAATTTTAAAAATGTCACCCAGAAAGCCAGCTGTTCATCTGCAGAATATACATGCAATACTTGAAATGTTGAGAAAAGAAGTTATTCTTTCAATGTAAAACAGAAATATAAGTATTCCCCAAAAAGGCCAATGAATTATTTTAGGAAATGATTACAATAATGTCCAATATAATTAAAAAAAAAAGGCATATCTCAAATCACTTCCCCATGCCTCTTAATCACTTGGAGGAAACTGTTCAAGAACTCTATCTCTACAAACACATGACCTCCAGGATGCCACCAAGGTCAACGAGAATCTACAAGAAAGGGATATGCTGAGTAAGTGCTGATTTGCCAAATTCTACGATTCCCTTGAAACAGAGAACAGGAAGGCAGAAACATAAACATGAAAGCTTCTTACATATTACAGGAAATGATGTTTCAGGATGTAACATTCAAGAACCCCATTACAGGGCTGTAGACAGACATATGTCAGCAACGGCCAATAGGAGCAAGATCTGCAAGGGGCGTCACAGCACAGAACCAGATACAAAAAAAAAAAAAAAAAAAAGATTACGGCACAGAAGGAATGACCAAGATCCCACACAGATTCGGCCTCCCCAGCATTTTGTAATGCAAACCCTGCACACCCTGGCCACATGCCACAGCAGCTCGATTTCAAAGTGAGGGCTCTGTGTTGAAAGAACTTTTTGAACATGATAACCCAAGATCCACCCACAGTGAACACAGGCAGCGCCCACCTATCAGAAGCCGGCAGGTAAGGCGCAAGTTTGCAGAGCTCAGCCTGACAGTTAACACCCACCCCCCCACCCCGGAGTCCTGCTTGTGCTCTTACCCTCGGCGGCTCCTGCAGACATTTTCTGCCATCCCAGCCCTGCACCTTGCACAGACCAGGAGGTTTCTCTTGCATGAGATTTAAACACTCAAACACCTTCCCCACTTGGCATAACCGCTGAAAGCCAGACCTACGTTCAAAAAAAAAAAAAAAATCCCTATCAAGTCACAACTGCTACCCCTGGCCTGTCCACGCAACTTCCAAACACGGCAAGAAAAAAAAAAAGGAAGAGAGCGCGAGTGAGCGAGCTGTGCGCACAGTTTAAAAGTGCCTGACACACGGGGAGCAGCTCCAGGGTGGGAAATTCATTCTAGTGTTTTCCGAGCAGCACCGGGCTCGGAGCGGAGGATGAGGGGGGCCAGCAAGGCTCGGGGGGCCGCAGCCAAGTACTCACGGGCTGGGGGCGGCTCCGGGCCGCTCCCCGCCGGGGTGCCGGGGTCGGGGCCTCGGCCCGGGAGGCGCCCGCGCGGCGGGTCCCCGCCCCGGGGCCGGAGCTCACGGGACACGCCGCCTCGGGGCTCCGCGTCCGGCGTCCTCGCTCTCCAGTCCGGGGCTCGGTCCGGGCGTCGGGGCGCGGGGTCGCCCGGCCCGCGGGGCAGAGCCCCGGCGCCCCGCAGCTCCTCTCTCCAAGTAACTTTTTGCGGAAAAAAAAAAAAATCACTTAGTCCTAAAATAAGCACAGCCGCGACGCCCGCCCCGCTCGGGCCCGGCCCGGCCCGGCCCGACGGGCCCCCGCCCGGCTCGCGCGCGCGGCTGGGGGGCCCCGGGCGGGCGGGCGGCGGCGCCCCGGGCCGCGCCCCCGCGGCCCCGCCCGCCTGCCCCCCGCGCACCTGGCGCCCCGCCCGCCGCCCACCTGCCGCGCCCCGCCCCCCGCCCGGCCCCGGCCCCGGCCCCGACGGCCCGGCCGCGCGCGACGCCCCCAGAGGCGGGGCCCGGCCCTGTCAGCGCCCGCGGGGGCCCCGGGGCGCGCTCGCCGGGCCGCGGCCCCGACCCGGCCGCGCCGCGCTCCCCGGCGGGGCTCGCGGGCCGGGCGCGGGCCGGGCGCGGGGGGCCGGGCGCCGCCGCCGCCCCCCACCCTCGGCGGCCCGGCCGCGCGCCCGCGGCGGGGGAGGGGCGCGGGGGCGCGCGGGCGCGGGGAGGGGGCGCGGCGGGAGCGGCCGCTCGCCCGGCGGCGACGGCGGCGAGAGTCGCTCGGCCGCGTCCGTCATGGCGCGCGCGCCGCGGCGCCCGCTGCGGCCTCCCCGCGCCCTCGCCTTGAGTTTGACCTTTCCCTCAGGGTGGCGGCGCGGAGCGGCGAGCGCGCGCGTGAGCCTGTCGCGGGATGTGCGCGCGCGCGCGTGGGGAAGGGGCCGGGTTCGCTCCCCGACGCCTGACGTCACTGCCATGGCAACGGCAGCCCCGCCCCTCGCCTCCCATTTCCTGCACCCCCCGCCCCGGCCCTCTGGGCACGTTCCGGGGTCTCACGTGCTCACTCACACGCACGCACGCACGCACGCACGCACGGAACGCGCGCGCCCAGAGAGCTGGGGGAGGGGGGAGGTCATCGGTGCCGCCTCGTCGCCTCCCTGAGTTTCCACCAATCCGGTGAGGAGGAGCTGTGGGCGGGGCGGCGCCTGGCAGAGCCGCGTGAAAAATTTCCCCAGGCCGCGCGAAAAGTCTCCCCTAGCAACTGAGCATGCCCGGTCGTGGGAGGGGCGCGTGGCTCGGGAAGTTGGGGAGCAGGGGCCCGAGGGTTGGGACCCCGCGGCCGCAGTTCAGGGGCGGCGAAGCGGAGTCGATCTGAGGTTACAAGGCAGCTTTGTGTCTTTGGACACGTTGGCTGGTGTGGCCCCCGCCCTCGCCACTGCTGTGTGATCCGCACGTGGTGCCCAGGCTCTGAGCTGAGGGTCTGGGGGGGCTGGCGGTGAATCCACGCGGGCTTGCCAGGACTGACAGCGCGTGGAAAGCGCCTTATCCCGCACGGGGTAGACCCTGAACACTTAATTGTTAGTATTAGTCCACACAACCTTCTTATTTTACAAGTGGGCACACAGGACGCAGAGAGATTAAAAGATTAAATAACTTGCTCAGGGTCAGGTAGGGGCAGAGGCCCAGGCTTCACGTTCCGCAGGACGCTTGTCCTGGTGACCTTCCCCAGAGGGGGGCTGTCCAGACACCCCTCCGACTTACTTCCTTTGCTATCTGTGGATCCCTTTTCACTTCCCATCCACCTCCCGTCCCTGAGAGGTTTAGAGGTCTGGGCTGAAGGACTGGACAGTTTTTTGTTGTTTTTTTAAGATTTATTTATTTATGCATGCAAGAGCTGGGGTACAGGCCAGAGATGTGGGGGGAGGGGTTGAGAGGATTCACCAGAAACAGAGTGGGGTGCAGAACAGGCTGACTGACAAATACACTGCTGAGGGGAGCAGGGGAAGACAGGAGAGGTCTGCTGCTGCCATGAGGGTAGCTCCCTGGCGGGGGATGGAACTCGCTTTGCAGAGGCTGTGGACTGCTTCATTGTGCGGTGCTTAACCCCTTGCGCCACCAGGGAGGTCCAGGACTGGACAGCTTTGGTGCAGCTTTGGGGGTTCCTGAATGACACCTGAACAAGCACTGCCTTGGGGACACCTGAATTTCTCAAGTGTTGGTTAGAGTGTAAACACAGTGGTGAGGAGCTCCAGGTCTGCCAAAATGTCTAGCTGGCTGAGCAAAGATTCGCGCAGCTAACCAGCCTTTACCCAGCCTCCACGAGTAGGAGAGCGTGTTCACAGCCCGCAAGGTGCCTGTGGCCTCCGCTGTCCCAGACAAGCTGGTGCCCTCATCATTTCTCAAACTTGTGTGCAGAGCCCTTTCCTCTAACTTAGAGGAAAACTAATTTAGCTCTTAATTAGCTACTGCCTTCTGGTGTTTCCTGAGTGCTGTAGAACTATTTAAATCTAGATTTGCAGTTAGCTTTTTAAAAGCTCTGTGTCTGTCTCCCTCTCTGTCTTATTAGCTCAAATCTAAACCTGATTTTGGTAAGGGACATCACCAAGGTTCCTCAAACATATGCACTATCTTTCCAGGAACTAATTCACTTTCTAAGTTCTAACTAAAATGTAGTCTCTTTCAAAAAGTCTTGCTGAACCTACTCAGAATGAATGAGCCCATTTCCAAAGCACTTGGTATTTATCTTGCTTTGGACCGTCTTTGCAGAAGACTATGTGTTCTGAGATTTGTGCACATGCCACCTAAGAAAACTTCCTGAACATCCACACAAGGGTTGGCTTTTGCTATTCCTTTCTCCCATAGCACCTGATGATCTAACGTATCAGTTATTACCCATTCCGCTAAGGCTTGATTTATCTGCCTTTTCCATCATACTGACACTCCTTAATGGTAGGAATCAGGTCTAGTTCCACTTTGCATGTCCATCTTCCTTTCTACTGCAACACTTCTAAACCGCTATCTACTGTATAGCTAAGTGGGATCTCTGCCTATTTCATAAAGTTCTTAGGGGAGGACTTTGCCTTGCTTATATCTCAGAACCAGAGTTCCAAGAAAGTTATGAGTTCTCGGTAAAGTACAGACTACTCTAAAATCCACCAGAAATTATCTGGTCACACACCCATGCAATGATAGAAGACTTTGGCAATTGCACAAGAGGCTTAAGCAGAGCAAGACCTAGGAAATCCAGGAAACAAAAGGTCATAATTTCTTAATAGCTGCTGCTGTGCACCTAGAATCAGAGATATTCCAATGTAATGGTGAATAAAAGACAAATTACTCAAGGTGTATTGGATGTTGCTCCCTGAAAAGGAGGTAAATAATGCAAAGGGGAATCTTGAGAAAGAGACCAAATATTGTTTGACTCATCTGAACTGATAGCATGTGTCTCTGTCTGCTTTGGCGCTATAATCTAAAGTCCAGTGGTATTTTTCTAAATAGTTTATTATTTTTTTTAAGATTTATTTATTTATTTATACAAGCACCAGGGTACAGGCCAGATGTGCAGGAGAGTAAGAGGATTCACCAGAGACAGAGCAGGGAACAGAACAGGCAGACTGACAAAATACAGACTGCTGAGGGGAGCAGCGGGCGCGATGGGAGAGGTCTGCGTTGCCATCTGGGACCCTTGCCAGCCGGCCAGGATTGAACTGGCGCTGCAGAGGCCGTGGACAGCTTCACAGGGCGGCGCTCAACCGCCTGTGCCACCAGGGGAGGCCCTAAATCATTTATTCTTGATAAGCTACTTAACTCCCTGTATCATCTTCCCCAAATGGGATCTTTTTAGTGCACAGCAAACCCCCAGCAGATGAATCATTGTCAGTTGATCTCATCCCCATTCTGTCTGTCCTATAGTTCCACAAGGCCTTTCTCTTACATGGCAGTGGTAACCACAAACTGTCCCACCCGCTCTGCCATTGTTTTGGCGTGAGCCCACAAAGCCCTCATCTGGACCAAACAACCCCCTCTCCCCAAACTGATCTTTTCCTCTGGTCATTGAAACAGAAGCCCGGTGGCTGCTGTTACTGCAGGGCCTTTGCACTGTTTTATCTTGGATCCACCCAATTCAATGTCCACCATACCCCAGACTCCAGAAAGACTTTTCTGAAAGGCATAAACTTGATCTAATCTGCAAACAGCTTAAAAGTCTTCTGTGGCTTAACACTTTAAGAAACCGAACTTCGGGCCTCCCCGGTGGCGCAGCGGTTGAGCGCTGGGTTGCGAAGCTGCCCGCAGCCTCTGCAGCGCCGGTTCAATCCCTGGCTGCTCCCCGGCCACCAGAGGAGGGTCCCACATGGCGCGCAGACCTCTCCTGCCGCCCGCTGCTCCTCTCAGCAGTGTACTTCGGTCCTTCTGCCTGCTCTGCTCCCCGCTCTGGCTCTGGTGAATTCTCTCACCCTCCTGCACTTCTGACTATGCCCAGTGCTTGTATAAATAAATAAATAAATCTTTAAAAAAAAAAAAAACAACAAAAACTACT